TCATTGAATTTCTGTGGTAAAAATGTGTGGCAATATAAATATGTAACACATCATTTATTCAAAAATAAAAATGCAGACAAGATTTTCTTATAGGTCTGAAATATTTGATACATTCCCAGCGTAATTGCATAACTTTCAAGATCTGGCGTCAAATATTTTTACTCAAAAGAGTGGGCTACGAAATAGCACTACGATACACAAAGGAAATATCTTTGTTCTCTCAACTTAGAATTCTGGAATTAAGTTATGGCTACTCGCGTACACTTCTATAAAATATTAACTATTTTATAAGTCAATGGTATTCACAAGTTTAATCATTGTTTCAACAGATGATATGCATATATCAATTATGTGCTTTGAGAACAGTTTTCTTTATATATTATCTTTCATGTTCGCTCTTTCCTTCAGATAAAGAATATCGATTATTCAGATCGATCTCGTATATAGATGGAATAATAACGCTAGGAAAAAACTATTGCTAAGGGGAAAATTTGAAATAAAATACTGCGCATTTTGTCCTGATCAATTGATATGTTAATTGTGATGTTTTTCTGGCTTATGAAAATAATAGCACGAGTCAATGGAAAGAAAACTAGCAGTAAGAATGTAGGTTAAGAAGAAATCGACACCTACATCTGAAACTTCAGTTGTTCCTACATTGATACTGCAATAATCAACTTGAATATATAAAAGAAACTAGAGATTTCTTTTTTATTTTATGATTTAATGAAGGAAAAAAGAACGATAGAATCAATCGTTGAGTTCTTGCTGAACAAGACTTATCCAATAAGCGACACCATATGGAATTGCATCATCATTAAAATTATAATCAGGTGAATGCAACTTATTGAGTACTGCTCCATCATTGTTGCCCATAAAGATAAAAGCACCAGGTCGTTTCAAAAGCATGAAAGCAAAATCTTCAGAAGCCATCAAAGGTTCTCTGTTCTTAGTGACATTTGTTGAACCGACGACTGCTTCAGCCGCTTTAATCGCTCGTTTCGTTTGTTCATCATGATTAACAAGGGTGATTGCTCCTCGTCTATATTCCACATGAGCCGTACAACCAAAGGCGGTAGCTAGATTAGTTGCTAATTCATTAATACGTTGTTCGATAAGATCACGAACCGATGCAGTCAAAGTTCGTGCAGTACCTCCAATACGTATTTCAGATGGCATGACATTAGCTGACACGAAAGAGCCACTCTGGATGGCACCAACACTGATCACTGCTGAATCGATCGCATTGATATTACGACTAACAATAGTTTGTAGTGCCATAATGAATTGTGCTTGTAATACTGTAACATCGGTTCCAAGATGTGCACCTGCTCCACCATGATCAACAGTGCCTCGAAACGTTACATTCCATCGATCGGATGCTGCCATCAGAGGACCTGGTCGTATAGAAAATGTTCCCATCTGTTCTGGAACATTGTGCAATCCATAGATGGCATCAACGGGAAATCGTTCGAATAGACTGTCATTTATCATGGCTATGGCGCCTGCGAGTCTTTCTTCACCTGGTTGAAAGATAAATTGAACAGTTCCACAGAATGAATCACGATGTTCAGATAAATACTTTGCAGCACCAAGCAGCATAGCTGTATGGCCATCATGGCCACAGGCGTGCATTGCACCCAGTTTTGTCGAAATGTATGTTGCGTTATTTCTTTCGATAAGTTGTAGAGCGTCCATGTCGGCACGAAGACCAATAGAACGATTACATGGCTTTACACTTGTCAATGTTCCAACAACACCGAATCGACCAACACCTTCAGTAACCGTTAGATCCCATTGTTTAAGTTTAGAAGCAACCAGAGTCGATGTGCGTTTTTCTTCCATGGCCATTTCTGGATGAGCATGAATATCTTGCCGTATTATGGCCAGTTCTGCTTGCATATCGCGTACTTCCATCAGTAGTGAGTCGTTCATTTTTGTTTCGAATTCTTCTAAAGTGCATATTAAATCTAAATAAGAGATATAATTTTAAAAAATACAACTAAAATTTTCAACAAACTTATTTGGTTATGCAACAGGATTGAGTAAAGAATAGTACTAGATAAAAATCGAATCATGTTTGATGATTTGAAATAGAAGTGACGTTTCGTTATAGCTAAATATAAAACACATACAAAACGCACATGCAAATTAATACCTTATTTGTTCTTATCTAATCTATAGTAACATTTTACAAATTCAACTGGTACTTGTAAGCTAGCTTATTGTATGTTGATTGTTCGCGTTCTCTTTGTATTGTTGAAAAGAAAAAAGTATCACTTACTATTGTGTTATTGTGTTATCAATGTTGAAATTTTCACTCTCTATCTGTTCGGTTGGCATTGGGCTTAGTTCAATAATTTTCATGCTGTAGTAAATAGTATAGTAAATAAATATTTGTGTTCAGAAAAGGGTGTGGGTATAGAGAACATCTACCTCACATCCACACCCATACCCGTCCACACTCAATATGAGTACGAAAGTTTCCAATTGACAAATTCTTAGGTGTCATGAAAATCCTAGCTTCGAGCATTGAGCTTACGCCTTCACATCATACGGTAAGGGTCTCGGATCATGCTGTCTAAATTTCTTCTGATCATGAAAACTTAGGGAGTTATTAAAAGTTAAACTTTATTTGAAATAAAGATTTTCAAGCTAACTTTTCAGGACTACTTTTAACCGACTGTCAGAAACTACTAACCTCACGAAACCATTAAAATATCTCGGTATGAAAAAACCTAGAGGGTATGGGTGTTGCTACAAAAAAGTAGTACACTGACCAATACCCGCAACTTTCAGGTTCAGTATGCTACAGAACTAATTTGTTGTAGAATTTTTCTATAATTAATGTACTTTCCACATCCCTAGCAAAAAACTAAAAATCTTCGTATTTTCAAAGAGCAGTTTAAAATTGAACAATTCGCTTTTTATGAATGTAAAATAAATGTTATTCTTGATCGAGAATAGGTTGTTGAATTTCAATGGATTGTTCAACTATTAATTCCCAGAAAATTCGTAGAAGATTTCATTAGATTCATCTTTCTTTGTCTATTGCGAATCGTTTCAAGAGCCAGAGTTGTAGGCTTCGTTTCCACTACTGATTGTACTTAGTTCATCGTTCGACTGTTTGTATCTTCAGATCTTTTCATTTTTTAAAAGAGAAATTGAATTTGCAGATCATTCTATCGTATTCATTTCTTTTTTCATAGTGATCTGATCACAAACATGAGGAAAATATTCTTTATTGAATTTTGTCAATTAAAAAAAAACAATCGAAATGAATTCTTTCTTAATTTCATTTTCGAAAATCGATGGTTGTTCTTATTTCTGTTCTAATGCACGAATAATCAAAAAAATACATGTCAAAAACAGCTAAATGCTTTATGCTTTTTTGTACATTATTTAAAACGATAAGATGCAGAAAGGATGATGACAACTGGAGGATGCGATTGTGACAGTGTTAACCTGTACAGAAAAGGAAAAATGTTAACAGATCAATTAACAACTTGAATCTTCTCTCAGTTACATCCAATTGTTCACTAATTGCTAACAACGGCTAAAGAAATATAATTTCCCATCAATGATTAGTTCAAAATTGTGAAGATTGTTCTCTGAAATATTCACTCGAGATTTTTACTTCGCAGATTGATCACTAAAAGATGGAATACTTCTGAGAAAGTCATATAAAATAACAAATTATTTTTCCAATACTCAATAAAATTGCAATGGCTTCGTTGCACAAATACCTTTCTCTCACCAAATGACTCATGTTACTATGATGCACGTGTATTACCATAGAAGGAATGTCTTTTTTCATATTCTTGCTTGTATATTGTCGTGATTGCGACATAATTATGCAATTCATATGAATCATATAAAAGGATGAAAACTTGGAGTTGCATATTACTTTTTGTCATAGATCATTAACAAAATAAGCAACACATAAAAGTGAGCATGATTTTAGTCTTTGCATCATGGTTTTGTATATTTTTGTCAATTTGTTCCTTCTTTTTTTGTTGGAGATCGAAGTCTGTAAAAGAAACTATTTCAACTCTTTATCAGTCGAAGTATGTATTTTAGTTCCTTTAATGACACCACATCTAAAGAAACGAAAGCAAAGAAAGTAAAACATAATTTAATATCAAAAATACAGTATTCTGCAAGAATAGAAAACAATTTGCTTTCGTAAATAGTTGTATGAATTACATTATTTGGTCACCTTTTTGGTTCGTATTTATGAAATCGAATCTCTAGAGTTTTTCGATGAAAATTTTGATGATTTGTTACAAGTGAACATGTCTATCATGTTAAAATAAGAACATTGACGCATTTTTTTCACTTCTATAAGTCCATCAAGCTTTGACATGCAACAGAGATTTAATTTTATAGCTGTAATTTGTTACAAATTTGGACATTTTTTTGTAAGTAATATTGAAAATCTATACGAAATTTGTAAAGTTTGCCGAGATGTCAGACACCAATTTGCGAGTAACTTGTGTAATTAGTGATAAACTTCTACTTAATTACAAAAATTAGTATAGTACAAATGGAGAACTCTATCGCCAAAAACTGAACATTTTCAGAAATCTCGATAGCTACTAGGAAATTACAGAAACTTTCGATATTTTTATAAATGATGGAAATTTCATCTGTTTTTTTGTTAGTAGTTTTTCAGTGATGGTTTCAGAAGATAACCAGAGAATTTGTGATCGATAGTTCAGAATTACGGAAACTTCCCGACAATTTATTCCTTGTATATGTGTAATTAAGGAAGTATTTCTTAAAATAACCAGTAGCTATATTGACTTTTGATGAGTGCTGGAAAGGCCAAATGAAACTAACGCTCACTTTACTCTGAATCGTTTAATTTTATACACTTCGTTATGGTGTATATTAATATCAGTCTCGGCTACGAATCGCACTTGAAACGATTGTTTTTGTTACTTTAGTATTATAGATTGAAAAACAACCATAAAAAAACACCTATGAGCACTGACAACATGGCTTCAGTTAACATTCGTTGTATTCTGGATAATCCCTATGCCGTCATTGGTGTAGTGAATACAAAAAGAGCTCGAATAGAAATCGAGACCAAGGCGAACGAACAAAATGCTGCAACTACTAAACGAAATCCAATCAATTTGGTTTTGGTACTTGATCGCAGTGGTTCAATGGCATCAAACAATAAATTAGAATTTGCAAAGAAAGCTGTTATCTCTGTGCTTAATTTGCTGCATGATGACGATGTTGTACACCTAGTTGCCTATGACGACAATGTCTGGAACGTTTTTGAAAATGCACGTGCATCAGCTCGTCAAGTTCTTTATTCAGTTGTGGAAGGGTTAAAGACTGGCGGTCAAACTTACTTATCTGGTGCTATGGAAACAGGTGCCAATCTTTTTGAAAAATATACATATCCTGGATATTCCAAACGCATGTTCGTATTATCAGATGGATTAGCTAATGTTGGATTAAGAACAAAAGAAGAAATTATGAAAGCTGTTAAGAAATATAATGAAAAAGGAATTATAATTGATTCATTTGGTATTGGTGAAGATTTTGATTCAGAAATTATGAAAGGTATTGCTGAAGCTGGATGTGGTCAATTCTTTTTTCTTGAATCAGCTGAAGTCATCGTTACATTAATGACGAAAGCATTACAGAGTGTTTTCGATGTTTGTGGAACACAAACTCAACTAATTATTCGTGGTCGTAATAATGCAATTGTAACAAAAATATGGGGCCATGAAAACATTGCATTAGGTGCAATTCTTGGCGATCTTCATGTCGATAATCTTCGCGTTGTTCTTTGTGATTTTACTGTTTCTGGAACAGTACCTGAAGGTACAGAAGTTGATATTCTCGACTATCAATTGAAGTATCATCGTCCTGGTCATATTGAAGAAGAGCCACTAACAATTACTGGTAAACTATCAGTAACATTCGTCAATGATGAATCACTCATTAAAGAAATTGATCCAAGAGTTAAAACCTTACATGCTGTTCAAGTTGCAGCAGAAATGGATGATAGAATCGCTCTATTGATAGACAGTAATAGGAGAGATGATGCTATTGCACTTATTACTGAACAAATTACTCTTCTGAAACAAGTCGAACATTTAGATGATGGGAAAGGTATGATTGAAATGTTAGTTCGTATGGCAGAAAACATGCAAAATCGATTGAAAGAACAAGCAGTAAGCGCAAAAACTGCTGCTAAATACTATGGTCATCATGGTCATATGAAAAAATGCCATGATTACAAATACACTCATCACTATGCAGATGAAAACTAAAGAATTGCACATTTGCTCAATTGAAATATAAGAAACCAAATGTTGTGACTGACACATTAAACAACAATTGATTAAGATTTTCATTTTTTTTTCTATCACTCCATTGTAATGCAAATATACTGGTTATTTTTCTATTTCCTTGAATTTTTTTTGTTCAGTACGTATTAAATACATAAGAAATAAAGGGTAAAATATGAATTGAACATCAGAGAGCGGAGAGGATGTTTTGCATTTCCATCGACACCCGTACTCTCATCCACCGGTGCTTCTATTGAATCTTAATGTGCCAAACGCTTGACTGTACGAGTAATCTATGTGTTCTAGTTGTGCTAATTCATAGAAGTGATCAGGAATACCGACTAGTGTGAGATATTCTGAGGACTAGTCAAGTCTAGTCCCAAATATTTAGTGTCGACGTCAGGATTAGTCAGTATCTTATGGGGTAATACAATGACGGGACTGGACTACTGTAATAATTTTGAAATATATGTCTGGACTAGTCTGAGAGATCCTGAGCACCAGTCAAGACTACCATGTTTTACTAGAAATGACATGCTGTCTGAACCAGACTAGTCCGAAATTCAGTGCAACATCTTACGTTGATAGTTGGTTATATCTTTAATACCCGTCAAATCTGGTCTAATTGCAGAAACTTAATGTAATTTTGAGTTTGAACTAGTTGCTGACGCGTTGGCCTACAGAAATGAATCAGAGCACTATCATTATAGGTGGAAATGGTGAAGGAGAGCGAGCTAATCAGTTTAACGGTCCCGAGGGTTTATCCTGTGACAGACTTGGCCAACTCTATGTCGTCGATATGAGGAATAATCGTGTTCAACGATTTCCTATCGAATAGACTCATTATAATGTTTAATTTTTTTTCTTTGTATCATATAAATGACGATAAATAAAGAACGAATAGTTATTCAAAGCACGGAAGGAATTTTATTCCTAGTATATTCGCGCAGTCGTGCAATCAGGAACTATCTTGATGGCACTGTGACAATCAGGAACTATCTTGATGGCACTGTGACAATCAGGAAGCCATGCACACCCCGAGACAAACGCATATACACATTTTATGTATATGTGTTTGAGAATGTTCAATCGTATGCCACGGACACCAAGATGATTCCTGTCCGAGCTTTAAAGGTCTTCGAAAAAAGGGGACTTACACGAAGAATCTCAAAAGAGATTACTCATCCACCCAACTCTATACGTACTTCACCCTAAAAAATAAAACAACTCACTTATTTATCATTGGATGAATGAGATTGATGACTAAAACTCAAAGAAAAACATTTATTAAAAAAAAAAAGAATAACTCATCGGATTAGAAGCGGTGCTTAAATTTATCTAAAATTAAAAGAAATGATTAGGTGGATGATTTTTTTTATAAAGAGAAATCAAAGTGCAGTGCTATACGGATAACTTCCCTGCCATAATTTTGTTCCGCCGGGAATGCTATATTGTTGCATAAAGATTGCACTTTTGATCTATGATTATTAATAAATAAAAAAATACATTGTTGAAAACTAGTGTATATTGTTTTCATATTGTTGAATGGTTCAATTAGAGGCTTCAATAGTGCGGAAATAGAAAAATCAAAAGAAGTGCATTGAAGTACTCGAATTTCATTAAATTATGTTAAAGTTCTTTAAAATATGTTAACATATGGGAAAGTTTGTTAAATCACGTTAACGTACCTTGACATATCTTAAAGTAGGTAAAGTACGAAATACTATGTTTCCTCCTTGGACTAGAGTATGTTCCTTCCATGTGTTTTTTTCTCATCATTTGTTTTTTGTTATTTCTTGCGTCGTCTTTGTGCAAGTCACGCAGATTTTTTTTTCGTTCTTCATCTCAGCAGTAACTCGCTAAATAATGGTATGTTTAGTCACATTCATACTTTTCTCCGCTCCTCTCTCGCAAGCAGTCATGGTTGAAGTATTTATATTTTATCATAACGTGCATCGTTTGAAAGCAATACATTCCTATCGATCATTATATTGCATCAATAAGTAACTCTAATAGTAGACGACGATGTGCACTCGAGGCGGCGTTTCAGCTCCAAAATTTATTAAGAGCTGCAGGATTCGAAACGATTCCGATGGTGATGTTCAAGTTCGTGTGACCTACCTCAAACATGTGGGTGAATCCGAAAACAGCAGTCCTCATCAACATGAAGCGACTTTATCTCGAGGTCAAACGCATCGAGCAGAATGTAGAGTTGCCAGCTTTGAGGGATGTGAATTTAACTCACCAATCCAAACTATCGAAGCCACATTAGCTGATGGTCGACAAATGCAATTAAAGGAACCGTTTGATGGTGTACGTATCATTGAGCCAGACTGGCTTTTTGTCATCGACAATCAAGGCATCCGCTCGGTCTCACCCAACAGTTAGAGAAAAAGAACGACGAACCCAGTAGTTAATCTAAAAAGCCATTTTTCTCCCTAGTACCCTTACTAACAAATACCCAAATAAAATGAATCATTAATTTGAATGGTGTTTAAGGGTGTGGGTATAGATGTGTATATTCTCTTTTTTCACACACACACCCATCCACATCACTTTGAATGTGTTAAACGAACGATTACCTATTATTTCAGTATTACTTCGTTCAACGTCCGTTAACTTTCAAAGTAGATAAAAAAAAATTGGATATGTCGCATTGTCTACGGCGAAACTGATCATCAAACTCACAAAATATCATTGACCAGGCATCTGGTTGATATGCAGGATATCAAGATTTCATGTGACAGGTTAGCTATTTGAAAATGTGCACTAATGATGACAAAAACAGTTTTTAAAACAAAACACGTGCGTCATTGTGTGCATAGAAGAGCCACACTAGATCAACATATATTCACTTATTCTGATTGCCATGTGATTTATTTTCTCACAAAACATCAGTAAACCAGTATATACAGTGGTAAAAAAGAGCACTGATTTGAATTAGAGAAAATGTTCGTTGGGGGTTTGTCAACATGTTTGGTTATTGTGCTTATCGTTTTCAACCTTCAGAATGCATTGGGCATTGGTCGAGATGGTCTTACACTAATCTTTGAAGATTCATTTGACAGTGGACCTAGGCTCAATGGGTCCATATGGAGTCCCAATTATCCATGGGGAACAATTTATAATCATCGAGCAAATATGGACCGTCGTCAAGTAACTATATCGAATAATCAAGTCAACTTAACAGCTCTTGCCATGCGATCGACAAGTACAATGAATATTGATACAGCTGATTATAGTCTTGTCGATCTAGATTATACATCGGGTGCCATCTATACGAACAGTCGTATCAGTTTAACTCGTGGTTTAGTTGTTGTACGTATGCAAGTTCCACCAGTAACAAGTACTTGGCCAATGATAATGCTCGTCCCAACTGATCAAACATTACCTATGTTGACTATGGACATATTTGATGATCGAAAAAATGTTGGTTACTCCTTTCAATATACATCTCCATCTGGATCACGTGCTTCAGTCAGTGGAACTGCACGTTCATTGACCGATAATAGCAAAGATATGCATTCGTATTCAATCGATTGGGGTTATGACAAAGTGACATTTTTCTACGATAATATTACATTAAGATCATTTGTTCAATCAAATGAATTGACACAAATAACTGAAATGAGATTAATTTTAGCATTGGGTGTCGGTGGTCGATCACCATCGATATCATCATCAAACGCCACCGATTATCCACAAAGTCTATTAATTGATAGTGTAGAAATGTGGTCACCAAAATACGACGGTCGCTATACAATGATCAATCTTAAATCTAATTTATCATTCGAAGTTAAATCTGGTCAAACACAAGATCGTGCATTAATCGTACAAAATAATTATACAGGTGTTGCATGGCAACAATGGGATATAAATTATATTGGCAATAGTTATTATAAAATAATCAATGTTCATAGTCGTAAAGTTGTCGATGTTCATGATTGGCAAACAGATGATAATGCAAAAATTATACAATATAAATTTAATTTAAAAGAAAATCAAATTTGGCGTATCATGGAACATGATGATCAGACTGTATCATTCGTCAATGTTTGGTCACAAAAAGTAGCTTCAATTATCAATGGTTCTACACAAGCAGATGCACAAATAGTACAACGAACATTTGATAATGGATTAGATCAGAAATGGAAAGTGATACGATTGAACTGATTAGTTCATTTTGATTATGCTTTAAGATAAATTTGAATTAAGATGTTCTTTTGAAAATTTTTATAAACTATTTTCAGTATTCGAAAAGTTCGTATTCAGATGTTCACTCTCTCGAACAGCATAGAAAAATATTGGCTGTTGGATGTACTATTGATTGGTTTTTCTAAAATTTTCAATGCAATTGACAACAGTGCATCCATTCTGATTGTTTCTATTCTTCATAAACGACAAACAAGCATCAAAATCTATTGTGATACGATAATTGATGAATATCTTTGGAATGTTGCACCTGTGTTAATACTCATTTGATTCCCTCTAGTGCAATGTCATCATTTCGTCATATTACAATGTATTTCTTCTGTTTTTTCTTTTACATCTTGTTATCGTGTGTGTCAAGATATGACTGTTTGCATAGGAGGATGAAAGGAAAAATATTAGCAACGATATCCTTTCTAAAAGTTTCGAACGAGAACTAGAATAATTAATCACCGATCTTTAGACCAATGGATCATCGAATGATATTACTGATGATGTTGTACATATTTCGAATTATGGAAAATTCATCAAGAGAGATCGATATAGACCATCACCTACTCACCAGAGGCCGAAACGGGATGAATTTTAGCTTCCCCGCCTCGGCTCGCCTCAAACAATTGTTCTCCACATCGCCTCGCCCCGAACTCAAAGTTCTTTTTTCGCCAACTTCCCCCGCCTCGCCCTCGTCTTCCATTTTGTTCTTCGCCCTGTTCAGATCGTCCCCGTGTAGGTTGCTCCCCGCCCCGTATGAGTTTCTCCTCGCCCCGCTTTATCCCACCCCGCCCCGTATAAGTTACCCTCGCCTCGCCCCGGGTTTACTTTATTTCTTCATCACCTTCTTTTATTTTTATTAGATATTTGTATTTCTTTGACCCCATCATTTATTTGACAACATATTGCAAGTAGATACAAAAATACAACAGTACAAGAAAATACAGAAATAAATAATCACATACCTTACATAAATTGAATATAATATGAACCAAATCGTTTTAATAAGACTTCAAAAATTAGAGATGAAAAGAAAGCATTTTTTGTATAAAATATTCAGTCATTAAATCAATTAATATTCGTGCTTTCTTAAAAATAATATTTGATGAAAATGGCGCACATTATAAAAATTTAAAAATTTTCTAGGTAAGATAATAATTATGACAGAAGTATTGAATACTTTACAAATATACGAGCTGATAGAAAGATTCCGGAAGGCATAACAAATCTAAGGAAAAATATGTTATTCAATAATAGAGCTGAATGTTTATATTAGAAATAGTGTTATCATTTTTTTTTCTTTGCAAATATGTATATTCAAAGAAATGTTACGTAAAATATCGATATAGCAATGAAATATCGACTGTTCGATTAACAGAGCAGGAAACGGGAGCGAGAAAAATGTTTGCTGACATTTCGTCATCATTAGTCTTTTCGAAATTAATCTCAGCTTGCATGAATGATGAAAATTAGTTAGAAAAAAATTGTAGGAATATCAAGATATACTTTGTCTATTTGTCGAAGCTTTATTAGAGCAGAGGAAAGGAGCGAAAAAAATTTTTGCTAACGTTTTATTATAATTGGTCTTTCCAAAAACAATTTCAGCTTGAATAAATGATAAAAATCAATCAGAAAAACATGTTATGTTTATTGAATGATACTTTGTTTACGTACGAGTATTTTTCTAATCTATTTAAAGAGATGAGAGGTGGCAGGATATGGGGGAAATTTTTTCATATCGTTAATATTCGAACCAAAATTTTCGGAGATGTTGCCATTTAGCATAAATGGGTGAATAGTAAATTGAAACAAAAACGTGTAGTCATGTTTGAATGTTGAAATATTGTTATTTTTTTGATGAATCATACAGATAGTTTTAATGATAAATTGACAAAATAACAATGTCACGATACTTTACACAAAAAAAAATCGTTGTATTCTATAAGTAAATCATGATTATTAGAAAAAAACTTTATCTAATTTCGTAACAAGGCGCGTTAAACAAGCTTCGCATCAGGAAAAAAATTATTTGTTTTTTATCAGAAAGCGCCTATTTTTCTACAAATAAACAAAGTACCTGAAATGAGACACTCCCCATAGATGTTGCTTAGCTAATCTTTTCAAAGGTATGCCAGCTTTATTTAGTATGCTTTCTACTGTGTTGGTACAATACTTTTTCTATCTCGCTTTAATACTAGTGACTTTGATGGGAATAGAGCATCGGTATATTTTGTTCTTGGTGATTGTTTCCTCTTTTACAATTACAAGTTTTAGTCTTTAATATGTTTATTATTGTAGTTATTGTAGTAAGGCAATATTACTTTCTTTTTAGTAATAGAAAGAGTCGTGCATGTAATGTATCATTGTTTCATACAACTGATCCGTTTCTGATTGTCTAATAAAGATTTTGAGTGACTAATCAATAGAATCACAATATATATTTTTGCAAGTTTGAAGAGTTCCAATAAGATCTAATAAGATACTATCAGAAATCTTTGGTAAAAGTTTCGAAATCCGATACATGTAGGAAAATAAGCCGTAGAATTATAAATTTCAGATGGTTCATGAAAGTTCAACGTGTAAAATACTTTTCCTTATCCTTTATGAAAAATTCAGAAATCATTCAAACAAATGTTTATGAACTTCAAATACTCATATATGTTTGACTTTTATAAATCTCTTCGTCCTATATTCTTCGAAACCTTTTCTGGAACTAGACAGAAAAAATTGATTACAAAAACAGCTGCAGCAATATAGCACAATATGCAAACCATTGTCATTTTCGAAAATATTCTACTTTTTAAGTGTACAGCTTCTCGGCAATCAACATTCATTGAAAAGACAAATAATTATATAGCGATTAAAAAAAAACTTTCCCATGATGTGAATATTCATTACGAATCTATACTGATACACCATATTCAACAAGGCGGTGAGGAGAATCACAATAAGTACAAGACACTCTTGTAAACACTATTAGATTTGTTCGATCGTAACATGTATTTTATTTTATAGTCAAATCTTCTATTTAATATAGTTCATTCCTTTAGATTTGTTATACTTATTTGCTAAATAAGAAAAAAAAACAATATCTATTCAAAGCAAGATCTTTTATTTATTTAAAAGTAATTACAAGTTATATACAAAAATAAAACATGTCCTAAACAACTAAATTTCTACCACCATAAATATAAATCACGATTAATAAATTTAATAAAATAATCCTTAAGTAAATTTTCTGATTTAATTAAAATATTTAATTCTTTTAAACATATTTTTGGTGTTTCTGAAATACATAATAAGAATAAATGTTGTATTTTATTTTTAGTTTTCAATAATAAATATTTTGTTATGGGTTCAATTTCTTTTCGATTCATACGAGTTTTAAAATATTCTAATTGTGGAAATAATTTAACAATCAATTGAATTTGATTCAATGTACAATATTCACGAAGATCTAAATATTTTATTTTATTTGTTTTTGTCACATATTGAAAATTTTCATTTTGTTTAATTAATTGTGAATTTGTTTTCGTCATAGCTAATAAATTCAATTTTAATGAATATAAATTCGGTGTAAAACGTAATAATTTAATAACTTCTTCAAATGGAAAATCATAAGATTCAATAGTTAATTTTGTCAATTGTACTAAAGGAATCATACGATTGAGAGTTGTTATAATTGAATCATCAGATGTTTGAAAATAATGTTTAATTGTCAATTGAGTAACATTTGGAAAATAATTTAGATGAATATTTATTATTTGTTTACTATAAATCGAAACATGTTGAACTGAATTTAGATTAGTTTCTTGAATATGCGAACAATTTTGTTCATCTATTTCCCAATGAAATCCATAATCTTTTCGTCTAAAAAAGAGAACAAAATAAAAACTAACGGGTGCCCTATCATAGAATATTGACTTTTTATTTTGAGTCGTTCAAATATCTTAACGAAGGTTTTTAAAATATTGTTTTAACCTTTATTCGATAGAGAATGAAAATCTCTATAAAACTGTTGACTGTGTCTTTCTAGGAAGTATTCCTCGCGAATATAAAGATCAAATAGTTAACATCTACTTAATATTCGCAAGTGTACAGTTATGAAGAAGAGGTTGAATCGTGCCAATTTTCAGTGCGGCTCGGTTCGTTTCCCATCTCTATTATGAAGACTGATATCAAAAGTACAACTATCATATATTTGAATATAGAGAAATTTTTGTTTTAAATGGCGATCATCTTTTCAACCTTTATATTAACGCTTGGATGTATTTTTCACTGTCCGACTAGCGTCGGGTCGGGCCGGATCGGGTCACAAAAAATATTTTCAAGTTCGATTTGGGTTGAGTCGGGTCACGAAAAATTGACTCATGCCGGACACTGATATTTTTTGACAAATGAAGATTTTCTAACCTAGGCTCGCCTCGGATATTATCAGTTGTCATATGGTAAGACGTGCAATTGAATTCTGAACAAAATGGTCTAAGTGTTAAGTTGATTAGTAGAAAGTTTTAGGCTATTCTGACTGTTTCAAAAGAAACAGCTCGAACATGTTGAAAAGTGTTTTTTTTTGTTGTTTTTAGATTTCCTATCAAAATATTCATCCTAGAACTTTTAAGAGTACATCAAAAGATGCAGAATCTTTCAGCGGAAACCCGAGATTTTAAAACTACTATGGTACGCTAGTTAATTTATTTTTGTTTACCTATATGGATCTGTTGAATAAAAAATTCCAGAATCTAAACGTCGCGTCCAATCATGTTGATGTGTAAAAAACCAATTTTTTTTAATCCAAAACGACGAATTAAATTGATTTATCAAATCATGATATGATAAATTATTATTTACCATAGAAGTTTCATGATTTATATCAAATATACGTAAATTTGGCATATAATTTACAATTAAATCTTCCCATCGTTTAGCATTTAAATAAGCTTGATCATATCTTGTTGTAAGACGTAAAATTTGAACATAATAAAAAAAATTTTTAAGAATTTTTTCAACTTTATCAAAACGAATACAATCAAATTTAAGTGAAACATTTTTTAAATATTTTAATTTAATTGGAGATAAATCTTCTCTTTCAAGATAATCTCGACAATGGACAAGATAATTAATCGATAAATAACGAAGTTTAGGAAGACAACATAATAAATTATTTAATGATTTAAATGGAAAACAACCATTTATTATTAAATATTGAATTGAACTAGAATCATATTCAGTCAAATAAATAGATAATGGATATTCAGAATTTTTTATTTCATATTCAATTTTACAATATTTTAATGTTAATAAATGAAATAGATGAGTAAAAAGAATATCTAATGATTCAATATAATCACCAATTGAAATAATTAATGAATGAAATTTTGGTAAATATGTTAAATAATTAAAAATTTTACTTAAATATTTCATTTGTATTTTATCAAGAATTAATTTTTCAAGATGAATAAATTGTAAAATTATGCGTGGTGGTGAGAATATAATATCAGCAATAAATGGATTTGATAAACGAAATAAATTAATTCGATATCTATATGGTATAAGAATATTAATATAAAAATTTTCAAAATCAATTTTTGATATTGTTGAAATATTTATTTGATGTAAAAAATTTGAATTAATAATTAAATTTTCAAATCGTTTATTAAGATTAAAAAAACTTTTATATATATCATGTATATCAAGATATTCAAATATTTCATAAAAAATTTCATTTGCTAAATTTTCAAGAATAAATCTAAATAAAATAGAATAATAAAAATATTATATAATATTAAATATTTTCATCTCACTTATTTCGATCAACTGTTGTTACTTAAACAAAAAACAGAGAAGATAATTAAATTTTTTAAATAATCAACATGAAATATTACTTTCATTTTGTAATTTTCGTTTTTTCGAATTTTGTACTATGTCGTTTTCTTGTCGCTTCGCTCGTTGCATGTCTTCGATAAATGAATAACGATGATACTGATCAAGAAAATTATTTTCGAACGAGAATGGATGTATATTCACCACGTGGTATAACAAACATATCACATCTTTTTCTTTTCTATACATACTGAATAGCGATATTCTTTTGCACTGCAAAAGACAAGCTATTTATTATAAAACAATTAGTAAGAAAGTATTTTTCAAGATGATTAGGATGATAAATAAAGGATGCGGATGGCTTTCAATGTCGTTATACTTTGTTTTTTCAATTGAACAATAGACAATAACTTACGTTACTAAACTAGACTAGAGACGTACATAAAGCATTCAGTGATTGTTTATGTCTATATCTAATATTCTGGAGAAACAGAAATTCAGAAGTGAATAGTAAGAGCAGAAAAGTTGTTTCTTCTTGTTTGATTTAGATAAATTAATGGGAAAATCGTAACACGTGTTAGCCTGGTTATCGAAAATGTTTCCAGTATCGTGCATCTTTATCTCCATGATTTACATTTCATTATCACGATTCGTAATACAGTTCACATTTATTATAAAGAAGCTACTTTAAAAGAGTAATCGAAGAAAACTTTCTTAATGAATAAAAAATGATAAAAAGAAAGTGCATTAATTGATTAATTTAGTCATATGTGATTTTACACTTATAGCCATCAAGACGTCGTCTTTTGAGAACATCAAGATTGATACCTAACAGACAACAGTTTTCATGATTGCATATATGTGATTCATACCACCATTGTGACTCAGGTAATAAGCCAGGATGATCATCTGTAACACGCATCATTATTCCAGTACAAACAATAGAAGAGTCTGGGTCATTAAAATCTACAATCTTTTTATTTTGATTATTGATAACCCACTCGATAATTTTATTATCAATATTGAAATCAATAATCGTATTACCAGCATCTAATGTTTCCTTTGCTATTTTCTTAATATTACTCGGATGAACACGACATTCTAATACAAATTGTACATATTTACCCGATTTGAAAAATTTACTTGGATATGACGTATCAAGTCGTTTAACTTCAGCATATCTTGGATGACATACATAATTAATGGATGGAGAAACATATATTCCTGCACCATGTTCAGCTCTTTCTGCTGGTTTTAATCCATTCAATAAAATAGATAAGCCATATTCAAATTTTGTACCATGATAACATATGCACCATCCTTTGAATTTTTCATAAAAACGATCAGTAACATAAAAAGAACATCGTTTCCATCCAACAGGACAATAGTAAGGTTTATTTCCACGATCAATTCCATCGTTAAGAGCACCTAACCAATAAGAACGATCAGGTGCATATATACGATTATATTGAGGATTAAGTTTAATTTCAGCACGATGTTTTTGTTGATTTAATAATGATTTTATTGAACCCATAAACATGAAGAAAATTCTCATTTTACTAAATTCTTCTCGTAATTTATTCGTAATTGATTTACATATCATTTTTAAAGATAATTTTTTATCATTCGATTCAAACTTATTGAATATATCTGCTTCTAATATACATGAACCTACTTGTATTTTTTTGATCAATATATCTTTCATTGTTAAATTTATTTTACCACAAAATTTAGTAATAAAACCTTGTAAATCGAATTGATTACAATCTTCATCAATACAGAGTTTTAGTGATGATGTTGTTAATTCAGTACTACTATCAAAAACTTCTTCTGCAACTGATATTAATGGTTGTCCCGTTAGATGATAATATTCTTTACATTCTTCATAATAGACTTTTTCCTCAGGTAATAACGGTTGTTTCGACAGAAAATCTTTTGTACGTAGAGTGGTATCCTCTTATAAATAAAGAATATTAGCATTATTAGAAAAAAATAATAGTCTTTTAGAAATCATTGTTTTTATCTTCGATCTAGCGACAATACTAACAAATATCTCCCATATAACTATTTTCGAGGTATAAACGCGTTTCTCACCGCATTTTCAAGGAAGAATTTCGTGACTATATATAAACGCATTGGAATGCAGCTAGGGTGAAATATATGATGCATCTCAACGTGTTCGATCTGAGTTTGGTTTTTACATGGATTGCAATAAAATTAAAATGTTGAATAGTAATATTTTGTTTTTTTTTTGAAGCTACGAAATAAATCACTAATTGAGTGTTCATATTTTTCTTGCTTGACTTTCTACTTATTCGATGTTTCTTTCGTGAAAAACCTTGCAATCATGAGATTCTATAAGACTTGATCAAAGTAGTTCCCTACATCCTCTGAAAAATCCTTTGTGGTATTTTAACTATAGGTTTAGAAAACGCTAATTAGCCGAGCATTGTAATTCGTCAAAAGTATCCACAATTCAGCTTGGAATTATCAAAAACTATCAGTAAAATTTCCATTTGTGAAATGATGAGCTGTTCTATTAGTTCGAGTATGACTCCAAGCTGAAAATATAAGATAGAATTTGAACAAATACTTCACTAAAGTCTTCTCAACAACTTGTTATTGGACTTGAGCGTGTTGGTAAACGGAAGACTCGCAAAGATACCCACATCCACGTGTTGGATTTTTAATTGAATCTGTCGCATCACTTTGTCAAATTAAAGTAAAACACGTTAATGTATCTGAAACAGTGCTCTTTTAAACAAGTTCCGAATGTGTTACTGTTACGCATCGGTTACCTCTACGTAAGTATCATCCAGATGTCGTGTGACAAAGATGTCTTACGCCTCAACTATGTCTTGAGCAGACAAAGAACAAGAGAAGGTGTATTTCAATGGATTGAATACACAATTAAAGGCGTTCATAAAGCCTTTTCATAGTTTCTATCTGTTATTGACATGATGCTTACGTGTTTTCACAATGCTTCGAGTATTTGTTTCTGGCTCTTACGCGATCATGTTTTTCTCATGTTCTTTAATCAATTTTAGTAGTGGTTCTAACCTGTTCATGCTAAGAAAAAAATTATTGTACATCTAATGCTATAACTTTGCCGATCAAATTTTCAAGCGCATATCAATGACCATTGTGTCATCTGCTGGGTATGAATGAGTAGGTGACTCACACTCACAGCCTTCTTAACTCGCAAAAAACAACAAATTGAAATTGAATCTGCTAGCAGATCATTACAGAACAAGTCGTGAAAAAATTTATATCTCGAGTCAAATAAATAAAAAAAAACGATATTTTACCAAAAAAAAAATGATAAAATGCCATTGTTTTATGCACATCTGACTATATGTTGGGATGGAGAGAGCTATAAACGCAAGCCTTTTTAGAGTCTTTTTAGTCTCATTGCAACTTACCTATAGCCATTACTAGGCTAACACGTAGGAGACAATAGTTTTACAAACGTCCCAGAAAGACATATACAATTATGACTTATTTACCACTTCAAGGTCAGATTCTTTTAGTCTAGAAAAAATTCAAAACAGTCCCGCAGGCTTATTATAGGTGAAATTCACAGCATTTTTTTCTATTTTTTAGTTATCTGTATAGATCATAACGGCGATTGACGACCAAAGCATTTTTGAAGATTTCAAAGGCTCGGTAATTGCACTAAGAACTTAGTGTTCTTCATCATTTGTGTTCCGTCTACTTAAAACAATGTTTGAGCTCATAATTTAAATTCAATTACTAGTAATATGTGGCATGCATACATGTATAGTAAAGTATATCTATAAAATTTGCTAGTGAACCTTCGACTTAGCAATGTTTCTAAGAGATAGAGAAAAATGGACACGCTTAACGTCACAATATAACTCTTCTTCCTATTTCACAAGTGTATCTGTTACTGAGAAAAATATGCTAGATAGCATCATTTAAGCTCAATGCTTCATGAAATTTCTGTCTAACTTACCTATGACAGGCGCGATCACTTCATTGAAATAAACTTGTGGATGCTGATTTAATCCGTTTATACACAACGGTCTTTGTTTATGATTACTTTCTCTATACACATTGTTGGCTACATCTTGAAGAACACTAGTGATATCGACATTTTCTCGAGTAATATTCTTTAATAACTGTTTGGTAAACAAGCAATTTCGACCTGTTTCTCGAACGCCACTATCTCCTTGATTAACAGCACATGCAAATTGAATAAATGTTCCTCGAAGTGGCTGAATTTCGCACAGACCCTTGTTTTCGATCAGTGCTACAAAGGTATGAACTTTACTTTGGGAAGTCATAAATCGTGTCACTTACGAGTTGATGCCGATCGACTTTGCATTTTGTATGGTATACAGCAATCTATGATAAATATAGTAGCATACGAAGGGTTTCTTTCTACTAATCGTGCAAGTGTTCGTTCAACATTAATTGAAAAGTCTTCGATATCTCTATCAGTTTCTAGTGTGGTACCATCAACAGGTATCAAATAGTTTTTCCCATTAGCCTGACAACCATGACCAGAAAAGTAGAATAAAATTAAGTCACCATTACTGATCACTTTAGAAAAGTTAATAATATGTGTGATCATCTCTTGTTGTGTCAAATCACAGACTGTTGTCACATTGAAATTGATTTTCTTGAGTAAATCACTCAAATCATTTGCGTTGTTGATAGAATAATTTAGTTTGTTGTATGATTTACCGTAGTTGTCATTGCCAATAATCAACGCAAACTTTCGACGAGGAGATAAATTCACTTGGGCAGTTGCCATTTCTTATCAAAATCTGAAATATTAAATATAAACTCGTACTCAAGATTCATAATTTTGATATTTTATCGTTTGCTGTTTTAATGAAAACGAAAACATGTTTTAAATCATCATTGCAAGAAACTGATAAACACGGCCTTTGAATTATGCAGAGTGTATGATTTGTATATATCTGTCATCTAGAGGTGTCGAATGAGAGTGCGACAGAAAGAAATCTGACATCATACCACAATTTACACTTATATTTCTTTTTAATGAAGAATAAATTTTCAGTCGAAACTTGAATTAGAAAAAGAAATCGCTGAAAAAATCTTGCTCCTTTCAACTCTCAATTACGATTTTTAGGAAACATTTCATAAGATCATGTCATCTCGATGGTCAAAGTAAATTTTTCTTTTCGATTTTGAGTATTTAATCGAAAAGTCCAATGAATCTTTCATTCAAATCTCAGCTTTCTATTGTGAAGAAAATATTTTTTTTGTATGCAATACCTTAGTATCTTGCAGAAGGAAAGAACCCAAAACCATATTTTTAGGATTCGTTCTAAACTACTTTCAACAACCGCAGAAGTCAGTTTTCATCAAAAAGATTGATCTTACTAATCATCTATCTACACACAAGTCTTTCCGTGATTGCTGAACAAAGCAAACACAATCGTAGGTATCGCTTTGTTTGAAAACATCACAGTTTAACATAGCTATCAGTCAGTACTTTTTCATAACGTGATAAACTGATTGCATCTTTCAAATTTCGCTGGATTTGTCGTCGATAAATCACCGAGCCGAACAATGTAATTTATACCACTATTGACTTAGCAGAATTTAACATGTTCATTACTTCGAATAATTTTATCCGATTGCTTGTAATCAGAATATTGTCAGTTTTAGTTTAATCAAGATTTTGAAATGAATATGATTGACAGCTGTCTGATCTCGAATATGTACACCTTTCTTTGTTTCTTTCATGTGTTGTTAATTAATAAAAATCTGAAAATGTTTCATGTTGTTTATTTGAAAATCTTAAGAAGCTTCTTGCGCTCGAACTTTGTCTCATGAATCATCGATCAACTTCCTTTGATCATTAATAATTACATTAGTTGTGAAAAAAGCTTGGATCTGCAATTTTCTCTGTTGAGAAAGTTTTGAGTCAAAAGTATAATTTTTTGAAGAGAAAATTAGCAAGGGTAGGTAATGGGTAGAAATGGATGTTAATTTTTCTGCTAATACTTGTACTTCGGAAGAAGATGCGATCAGAAAACAAACTTTTGAAGCATTGTTACTTTTTTTAAAAGAAAGAAAAAAGTTATTTCTTCAACTTTTGTATGTACGAAAAACATGTGAATGCTTTACTGTACTCTATCGATCATTTTTATAAAATTTTGACGCTTTGAAAACGAATTCCATCGTTTACTAACTGTTGATTTAAAAGAAAGAGAGTAACATTGATTAGACTTTGATTTTAATCGAAAGATTGGAACTTTGATTATTCAATTTTTTCAACTAATCGTTGCGCAGTTTTTTTTCTGAACTACTTTCAATTTGATATGATTCTACAGTTACTTCGAGAACAATCAAAATAAACTTTTTCGTTTGAGATGTTGACTTTGCTCCGAATTGAATTGAAATAATAAAGAATGAATTTTCTAATGAAATCGTGAATGCGCTCGACAGATAGAATCAGACTCTATGTATATGATAGTCAAAACAAATGAATCATTCCTATTTTTTATAACGAATCTAAAATGGAGATTATAATTGAGTCAATAGAAAATACTGTACGCTTTATCAATTTGTATCTTGGATTATCTAGCTTTATTGACAGGTAATTCTAATAATTTCAGTGTAGTATACAAGGTGTCGGTTAGTAGTCGAGCTCAATCCCTACCTTAGGTACGATTATAGATGTAATATTGGGGTATGTGTTGAGTGGAGACTTGTACATTTGATTAAGCAGAGATTTACTTCGGAACTATAGCTCATATGATATTTATTTTCTTCACAGACCTCCTGTCTGCGTTGTATTGCTATACTTTCGTTATTTTAATAACTAAAATTTCTTCGAAATGTTAGGATAGCGGTCTTTTTCACATATCTCGATGTTCATTCTTTATGAGAAAAATGTAATAAAAATAGAGTTCGACGATTGCTTAAAATAAATTTCTCATTAGTAAGATTGAGCATTGTTCGTGCGACAAAACATAAGAATCTAATCAATCATATTGTTTCAATCATTCTGATGTACAACGAAACAGAGAACAATCGAATACTTTTCAAAGGATTATGTGTTTTCTCGACAAAGTTAGTTCGTTCAACTGTACATAGAGGATCATATCAGAGATTACTATTCGAAATTTTTATGATCTCGGCTAGTTTTTCTGTTACTCAATTACACTGTTGATTGCTGAAACAAACTGCGAGCTTTTATTACTTATATTTCTGAAACCAGCAAGAAATATTGATCATTTCTATTGTATAGTAGACGAAAGTGAAGAGAACACTTCAGGTGACACTCAGAAAAAAAAATTGTCATGAGAAGACGTCAATCGCACACTTTCAATATTAGTCCGAGCAGTTCAAAAATTGAACTACATATTTCAACACCAATGCTCCTTACTAGTCATTCTAATCGCGATTCTTACTTGAAAATTTTCCACTAATATGAATATGTCATTTGCTTGACTATAGCACCATCCTATAGCTTATTATTTCGAGTGATTGTTTGATTTTTTTTCGAAACCTTTGTTGTATGTCATCATTATAAGAGAAAAGAAAGCTATTATTACTTGTTTTTTTTTTCATTATAATGTTTACTTTTGTTCCCCATCAATACTAGCCTGCGGGTTTGATGAAAGTAATGAATTTTTTTTATTTCGACTTGCAAGGAGAAATAAAAAACATACAACTCAACTATACCTTCTGTTTACATTTAGTTTTTTTTCGTCTGGAGTAAATCAACATGACTAGCTAAAAATGAAAATCTTGATCATCGTCTATACCTATCGCAATGTAAGTTATTTTAAAGTTAAGGTCTATTTCGCATAAGATGGAACAGGACGAATGTGACGAAAAATAATCAAATATGACGGAGTAAACTCATTTGTATAATTTGTAATTTAACAGAAGTTTGGATCATGAGTTCTAATCTGTTCGGTTTACTGAGAAAAATAAGGTCGTGGGTGTAAGTGTGAGTTGAGTATGGGTGTAGTTGAACAGGACACATACCATCCCTACTCATAAGCTCACATCCACACGCATATCCTTTCTTTCAAACCGTTTGTTTATAATTAACTTCTCATCATTGTTCTTTTTCGAGCTAATTAGTTGAAAGATTCGGTGTTATAATCTTCATAAAAATGCAAACACAACGTTTTTTCGTCCTATGCCTGACAGAGGGTGTTTGTGTGGGCATTGATTTTTCTTGTATCCCCATGCTCACAGCCAGGGGCCGCGCGAAAGGTCTAAGATTGGGAGGGTGTAACGAGTTTTGAAAGGGTGTAAAAATTTTTGGGGGGGTGTAAAAGGGTATTTAGAGCAAAATTTCTTAAAAAAAACACAAAATTTGTTCCAAATCTGCTCCCGTCGCTCAAAAAAAACAAAAATTTTCAATTATTGGAGGGGTGTACACTTCCCCACACCCCCCCGCTCGCGCGGCTTCTGCTCACAGCGACAACCATACAAACACAAAGCCACACCATGGCCGTACTCATGCCCATACTTACACCCACACCCATACCCTAAAATAACTATGAAGAAATGTGCCATGATATACAAAGAATAAAATGATCTGCTGATGATTAAAAACAGCAGCTACATCGTGTACCACATTTTAATTCCGCAGGGATTTCGGTAACAGCTCTTTATCAACTTTGACCAAAGGTGAATAAAGCTGAGGAGTCAGTCCCAATCTTTAATCGATTTCATAAGAAGGAGTTCATGAGGGGAATATGGAACCGAGGCACTGAACAACATTTAAAATGTTGATTATTTATGTGCATTCAAATGGTCATCATTTAAATCCACCGAACTCATATTTTTAGCTTGCTTGAGCGTTCTATAGTAAACTCAGCACTGATTGACTTTTTAGTAGTGCCTGTACCAGGTCTCGAAATCAGGCCGCTTTTTGATGGCCTAGCTCGGCTCGTATTGGGCCAAAAATTGCTCGTGCCCGCCCAGCCCAACTCAGAATGGCACCATTAAGACTATAGTTCTTTTACGAAAAGGATTTCTGCACGATGTAAATCCACAATCATTGTAGTCATTTATTAGAGTATTGTATAAAATTTATTATTATAGTGATCACGAGGTGAATAAAGTTCGGCAATTTTAACGCTTGAAATAACAGTATGAGGAAGAAGTTTAATTACTTATTGAACAGAAGGAACAATATGCGGACTACCGAAAGTTCACCAGTACGACTTTCGTCAATAGGACATTCACCAATGGCGAAAGTCCACTATACTTTCTCCAAGTGGCGAAATCCAGGCGGTTGTGTTGGCGAAAGTACAGTAGACTTTGGCCATTGACGAGGGTTCTATTGGTAAAATTCAGAATTCCCCAATATACATTCATGAGTGTTCAAACTGCTTGAAGACCATCATTTATCAACAAAAGCTTTCAGGAACGACATGAGTACTGATTCATTTCTAAGGATCTGATCGATCACTATTTTTAGTTAGAATATTAATTTTAGTACACAATTAGCACTGTTTCACTTCATTATGGTACTTATTGAAGTTGATAGTGCAATTAATCTTGTATGTGGATGGCGAATGTCATTGATTCCAATAAGTGTGCTACTTTTGTTTATTGGCTAAATAAATCTTACAAAATGTTAGCAAAATGGAAATTCTTGATTGCTATCATTTGTCAGATGCAAAACCTGTGTAAAAAATTTTGATGAAAAACCAAAATAAAATCGATTAAAATGGCGTTATTTAGTCCTGATTGTTATCCGATTTTTAACTTTAAAGATAAATTTCGATTGATTTTAGTCTTTTTTTGGTCAATTAATTAAATTATTTGGATTAAAACTGTATTTTATAAATCAATTAAGAAAGATTAAAATCGAATGAAATTTATCTTTTAAGTTAAAAAATTAGGCTTTTTACCATATTCAACTAGCACCATTTTAATTGATTTTTAGTTGGAAAAGGATTGACCAAAATTAGATTTTTTCTGTTTTCCTCGTGGAAAATTTTTCTTGAAAAAAATAAAGTAAGTCTATAGACCGGGTCGGGCTATCGGGCCGAGTGGCCCATTTCGAGGCCTACTGCCTCTACTATCCAGAGGATACTGATAAATTGAGTCATAAGTGTCCACTAGGATTAGGGTGTGGATGTGGTATAGATATGGGAATAAGTAAAGCTATATTGTGGGTTCTTGTTGTTGTGAATACATTCTTAGCTGTGGTTGTCACTATGAGTCTGAGATATAAGAACAATCAAACCTCACACCCATCCTAGAAGTTTCTGGTTGGTAAGATGTCGATTTTTTATGGCTAGATTCAATCAAAAGAATCCAGTGAAAGAGAGAAGGAATGCCACATGTTTCCACAAATCTTATCAAAAGTTATTCGAAAATCAGAAACAAGCTTGTTTTGTGTCTTAATTTTTTACATCATTTTACTTTAATATTCGTCTCGCCTCAAAACTGATAAGGTCTATATACGTCGCAATAATGGTATTTTTAGAGAGTTACAAGATTCATCTAATTCAAGAGAAATGCACTCGATCTATTAAATTGTTTTCAAAGAAATTGAAAATAAAACGGCGGATGATCGGCTCGATATCAAGTAGAAGTACATAATTTATGGATCTTTCAAAACAATTGGAACGAAAAATTTATTACGCTTTTCAACTAGACACTCAAAACCAAAAAGAAAAGCTTTATTCGACCATCAAAATTATTGGATCTCATGAAATGTTTCCGAAAAATCGTAATTGAGAGTTAAAAGAAACAAGATTCTTTGAGCGACTTCTTTTTCCTATATCAAAACCTCGAGCGAAAACACATTCTTCCATGGAAAGTGTGAGCGTAAACTATAGTATAATGGCAGATTTCTTTCTGTTTTACACTGATTCGACTCCTTACTAGACGAAGATAGTTGAGATAAAATCCACTAAATGTTAAATAGATGGTAGATAGATGCAAGTCATACTTTGCATGATTCCAAGATTGTGTTTACTGATCTCTTGCAATGATGATTCAAAACACGTTTTCACCTTCATTAACAGAGCAAATGATGGAATATCAAAATTATGAATCTTGAATACGAGCATTGAATCATTGGCAAAGATGATCGTTTTCCTCTCGCTCAAGAATCTTCTATCGATTTCGAAATGTAAAAACTATTCTAAATTTAATATTTCAGATCTTGATAAGAAATAGCAATTGCATAGATGAATTCAATAACTTATCGAAAGTTAGCGCTGATCATTGGCAACGACAACTATACTAAACCAGACAGTAAACTGAATCATTCTATCAACAACGCAAACGATCTGAGTGATTCACTCAAGAAAATTAATTTTGATGTCACGAAACATATCGATGCCGATTCAAAAATGATGGAGCTGATAAAAAGTTTCTGCAAACAAATAAAAAATGGCGATTTGATTTTATTCTACTTTTCTGGTCATGGTTGTCAGGCCAATGGTAAAAACTATTTGATACCTGTTGATGATTCTAATATAGATACTGAAAGAGATGTAGAAGATATGGGTATCAATGTAAAACATATACTGGAGCGCCTAACGGAAAGAAATTGTTCATACGCTACTATATGTATCTTGGACTGCTGTGTACCATACAGATTGAACAATCCGTCAACATCTAGTCGTAAGTAACACGATATATGACTTTCTAAAGAAAAAATTCATATCTCTGTAGCTGTGATCGACGGTGAACTCCTCCGTGAAATTCAGCCATTTCCTGGAGTATTTATCCAGTTTATATGCACTGCAAATCAAGTGGGCAGAGGCGTTGGGGAAACAAGTCGAAATTGTTTATTTGTCGAACACTTGCTGGAAAACATTACCCGAAAAAATGTTAATATCATGACTATTTTTCAAGACGTAGCCATCGCTGTGCATCGGGAAAGCAATCAAACCCAGCCAACACTATTTATGAGCGGATTACTTGGTTGTGGCAAAGTCTTTCTCAATAAAGTTTCAAATAGTACGTATAAAACAAAATTGAATTTTTACTTCATCGGTTTACATTCATTGAGTTATAGTTTTTAATGTTAAGTCTTAAGTTGATCAATATTGCAATTTTCATTGATTTCAATACCAGAATAAACTCGTATCTATTCTATTCCACCTTCGGTTTTGAGTAAGCCAAAGATTAGATTTTTCCTTCGGCAATGTTTATTTCTCTCATTCTATTTCTCTGGAATGAGACTACCCTCTTGATTAGGAATCAAATACGATCTGCAAATGAATTCTAATTAGAGCAGAAAGTCTTCTACATTGTTCGTTGATCATATGTGTCTCTCGTTGCAGTTATACCGAATATTCCAGAAAATGCTACATGGAAATTTAAGGCTAAGACTGTCGCTGGTGGTGATCGTCGTGGTGCTACACTCGAAAGACTTCATTGTCCAAGAGGCCTTTTTGTAGATAAAAATCAGAATGTTTTCGTTGCTGATAGTTTGAATAATCGTATTATGAAATTTATTCGAAGTACAACTGTTGCGCGAACGATAGCCGGTAAGAATATATCTAAATATGGTTCTGATTTTTTGTGTAAACCTTCAAATGTGATTTACGACTATAAATCAAAGAGTTTTATTATTTCTGACTATTATAATCGACGAGTATTGCGATGGTTTCCAAAACGTGGCACATGTCCAGAGACAATCATTAGAGGCAGCGAATATTATGGATTAGCTATGGATGATGAAGGTTTTCTCTACGTTTCTGATCCCGAACGGCATGAGGTTAGACGATATCGATCAGATGGCCGCCGTGGAAAAGTCGTAGCAGGTGGCAATGGACAGGGTAGTCATCACAATCAACTCAACCATCCGACGTACATTTTTGTTGGACCAGATGGAGCTGTATATGTGTCGGATACTTGGAATGATCGCGTGGTGAAATGGGATAAGAATGCGACAAGTGGTATTGTCGTGGCTGGTGGTCACGGCAAAGGAAAAGATCGAACACAATTGCATTATCCTACAGGATTGGTCGTCGATCAGTTAGGTACAGTCTATGTAGCTGATTATTGGAATCATCGAGTGATGCAATGGTGCAAAGGAGCCTCTCATGGAAAAATGATTGCAGGCAGTAGATTCCTTGCAGGAAACAAAGCTAATCAATTGAATGGTCCTGAAGGTTTGGCATTCGATCGATCTGGTAACCTTTATGTAGTTGATTCAAACAATCATCGAATCCAACGATTTCTTATTCAAACTGTTTGATATTCTTTCTATATTTATATTTTATTATAAGATGCGATTAAAGAAAAAAGGAAAACTGATGCTGATCTATTCAAAGACTGATTGCAGATGACGACTTTATCCTAGACTTTCCAAAAAAGTTGATATTGATACATATACTTTCTGAATGATGGCACATATATTAATCAATCAGAGGAAATTACGAATAATAGAGTGCCAAGAAAACGCATGAGTAGGTGTTTTATCTCTCTACTTCCTCTTTCTTAAATCACTGAATCATACACAATTATATTAAGAACAAAAGTGCATAAGTCTTTAATCATTTTGATACCAAAGTCTGTTTATTTCAAGACAACTTTGACTTCCATTACTTTATCATTGTTCATCACAATGAAAAACACAGAATATCTATCTAGACACGTGCCGATACTATCGGCTATCAGTTTTTTACAAACGGGCAGACGTGCTTTCATTCATACTGTCACGTATGCGACATTGGATGACCGTTTTAGAAATGCTTAGTTTTCCTAAGCCTAGTAAATAAGTCCTAATCAAGAGGATCAATAAGATATTCAGGTAGTGCTGATATTAAAACTGAATAAGTATTGTCTTGCATCACATGAGTACTATGGAAAAGGTCTTCACATTCTTTGAGAATAGATACTTATTTGAGAATTGAAGAGATATTCATTCTTCGATTCATAATTTTCTTCATAAATTGAGTTAAAGTTCATGAAAACCTACAAGAGAGTCTCTCCGACTGATAAATCGCCTTTAATCTTGAGTATCGATGTCCATGTGCACAGGACGTTATGATCCAGATTCCGATGTTACTAAATAGTCTTCATCAGATGGCTCTGACTATGTCATATTCGTTCAAATAATTCAAAAATAGCAAACTAAACACATACATATATATATAGAATTCTAGAAAAAGTTTGGAAAGTTTAGTGTATAGAAGCGATACATATCTTTCTACGAGAGTTGCGTGGTCTTGGATGTAGGTGGACGTATAGAGGACACTACAATGCGTTTTGACTTTGCTTAAGGGTCTCATAAGATAGTTATGACTTCACAACTATTCAGATGATCCGAAGATCACAAATAAGATACATAATCTACATTTCTAGAACGACGCAATCTCGGAAGATGATCATCGAACTAAGAGGATACGTCCTATTCTGCGATGCTGAACGTTGCAGAATCACTTTCCTTCGATTCTGAGAACTTGATCATTATTCAACATAAGAGCCCTTATCGATATCGATCGAGTTCCGTCAATTCCCGGAATCCGGGAATTGAGTCGAGACCGTATTACTCAGAATTCTCAGGAATTCGATCTAATTCCAGAATGGCAAGTGATACCTAGATGTCTGGGAATTGAAGGAACTCGATTAATATCGATTAGACGTCTTTTGTTGAATGATGATCGAGTTCTAGAAATTGTGTGGAAGTGATTGTGTAGGCAGAACTGGTTCTGCTATGTTCAACATTGCGGAATAGGATGACTGCTCATAATAAAATGAGAGAAAACTATTATTATTATGAACTCACCTATAAGCATGTGACGAATCTAATTGGTTCGTATCAAAAGTATTTCATAGAATATGATATAATTTATTTCTATATATAGATAAAAATGAATATTGAGAAGAAAAAACTTTATTAGTCAATAGCTACACAGAATGTGACAGAAAAACTATTTGACATACAATCTATTATTAATTATGTTGACTTTTTCATTAGTTTTATTAAACACCTAAGTCAATGAAGTAATCAGTCATTCTTTAGCTATTTAGTGGAATTTCAGGAAAACATTTAAGTAATATGAAAATATTATTCATTCATTCGCTTTATTGGAGTGAATATCGATTAAAATAATAACAAATAAAAGAAAAATAATAGATTCGACTAATTCTTCTTCGTTATAGTCACATATAAATTCAAGAACAAAAATAGACAGATTCAGTTTTTATGTAAATTATGAATACAAACATTTTATTTCATTTCATTTATCTTATATTACTTATATGTGAAAAGACTCTTCTTCCTTTGAATACTATATCGCATAGAAACTACTTTATTATTGAACCAACCCACAGATAATACGATCCTTTTCTTTGACTTTTGGTTTGTCAAAATTTAATTATTTAAATATTAAAGAGCTGAAGTTTATATTGAAGTAAGATATGTGAAAGTTTTAACTCTACTAAAAAGTTTCACATTATTTGGTCAAATTATTCAAACTCTATCGATTTAGGAAACCATCATAAATTACTCGTTGAACAAGCTCTTTTCTATCAAAATGATTCAAAAATATTCAATGTTTTTGAAATTTTCTTATGTTGAAAAATAATGATGTCATTAGGGTATAGATATAGTTATGGGTTTGAGTCTAGTGGATTAGATTGAACAGAAAATGAACGACCACACCCACACTCAAACTACAAAAACTAAAATATGGTGTGTTGATGTTTCAGGCGGATTCAGCATGCCAACTTTATCTAACGCACAACAATCTGTGAGTAATATATGAAAGTTCAAAAATTTTCTGAAATAATCGCAATTTCTTTAGATTCAATAGCATGCAGAGGCGATCGATTTTATCCTAAAAAAAATTACAGGTAACTAGACTAGTAAAACCACCGATTTTTTGGCAGTTTTCATCATATGAGGTATCTCATTTGTCTTGAACAGACAATGTTATAGGGCGTGTGCCCTCTGCAGGATCTGCAACATCCTGTCCATGCAGGAACAGAACAATCTTTTTTAGGATGTACAATCTGAAGGATAATATTTGAGTCCTACAGAACACTCAAGTCATCTAATTAATTGTAATCTAATGAAGTTCTGACCTAATAGTGGAACTCATCATGATTTTCCATTATTATCAATAGTAGTCAGAAGAACGCATGCCAAACTTTCAACCAGTACTTCGATAGAAAGGTTATTTAACGAAGCTGGATTAACATTTGCTTAAAGACAAACACGTTTATCACCCAATCAAACTGATAACATTATTTATTCGTTCTCATGAGAAATTCATGAAAAAGCAATAAAAACGAAAACTTATTCTTTCTTTCTATCCGTCCGTTTAAATTGATTACATTTTGAATCCTGTATCTTTATGTTTGTTCCATTATTCTTTTGCTCGTTTTATTGATGTCAAATATTTTTTTTATTTTTCAGTTCATTTCTGTTGGAAAGTATGTGATAATATTTATCAGCGTCATGATTGTAAATAATTTTTATATCAATAGAGAGTCTATGATATTTGACATCGAACCTCATATATACAGACAAATCTAATATCTTCGTCAAAAAAGCAATGAAAAGATCGTCCTGCATGCTGCAGAACAGAGCGAACAAAACGGTTTATACGACATTCTCTAGAATTGAATTCTAATGACGACATTCATTTCGAAAACAGTTCAAAAAATAATCGTGACTAATCTATTGTTGCTCTAGAGTATACTTTGTTTTGTAATAAAATAAACTTATAATTGGTGTTGAACATCTAAGACTAGGTCAATTTTCTTATTCGGGAATTTCCAAATAAGTAGTTCATCAGATTTTGTTATATATTGATTATTATTTAAGTTCATTAGATGTTGTATTGTCCTTTTTTTTCGTTTGTCATCGTGCTGATTTTCCATCATGACATATGTCAACTTGTGCATCATCATTAGTTACTTGTGTTCTTATTTCAGATATAAGAATATCATTAGTTTCATTTTGGCGTTTATGTTAATTGAAATTACATTTAAACAAAATTCCAAACATTTGTCGAATCTTTTTGTCATAAAAATGTATTTAAAACAGTATCTTTGATGATTATTTGAATTTCACGACGCAATTTTGTTTTTATTAATTAATTTTGTTTAAAGAAAAAAAATTCTTTTTCTACCAATAAAAAATTCTATTTAAGTCATTCAATACTTGTGATTAAAGAAATAAAAAAATATTAGTAAATCAACAGGAAGTATTTCGCTGTCCTATATTCATTAAACTCTTTTCATTTTAATTATCTCGAAACTTTTAAAAAAAATTAAAATCTAGAAAAATTTTCTTTTTTGTCGAACTCTCTCTCGACAGACTAAAGCTACTATTGAAGACCGAAAAAATGGATCATGCTGATTCAATCTCAATACTTTCACCTTGTAATTAGACGAATATCTTTTGAAATTTTATTCTCGAGATTAGAGGGTACTAGTTTACTTTAGACATATGACAGAACAGGAAAGAAAATATA